TGAGAGCCTACTCGCCTACTCGCCTACTCGCCTAATCGCCTAATCTATACGTATACTTTTCTTATAGACTAATCGCCTAATCGCCTAATCGCACGTACGATCGCCAACTATGAACGCTCCATAAGCCTTATGCGGGGTGGTGAGCGGCTTCTCTACACCGCTATCATGAAACACGTCTAACAGCCAAATAGCATGATAAATGTACTTGTTAACAGACGATAAGACGGGGATAACAACGTCAGAGCTATAAAAGCGGTTGAGATAGTACTCATCATTCACTAACAATGCCATCACACTACCACAGGCATCATGGAGATCATCATCACACGACGGCGACAAGTCACCGCTCATCACATCCGAAGAGCTTGAAGAAAGAAGACTCAACTGAACGATCACAAAAGTCCATCTCATGTAAGGTTTCTGATTCACTGTATTCTGAAGGGGAGTCTTGTAAGAGAACAATTGTAGATGCGGACGAGCTGGGAAAAGCTCTCGCGACGATCGCTTGCGAACGCGTGGTTTATTCGCCAAGACCGAAAAAACACAAAACCCTGTGAGTCTCAACTCAATCAAAGGAAACTTTTACAACCTCTGAACGATTTTTTTGCAGAGTAGATGGTTCAGAAAAAGAGAAATCTGCTCAATCCTCTCGTGAATCTGAAGAGACCAAGAAATCTGCCAATCCGTCGAAGGGAGCGGTGAAGTTGACAAAGACGCCAAGAAGAAAGGTCACTCCACGAAAAGAAATCAAAAATAGGACATCAAGAATGTGGGTCTAATGCGCTTCAACACTTGAGCTCACCCCACCAGCACATGTACTTTTGAATAGGGATCGACTTTGCGCGCGTAAAATCGATAACCGCACTTCTCACATAGTTGCGCTAAGAGAACGGTTAACGCGGAGAACGACTTCCATTCATTCGACTGGCTCACAAACTGGAATAAGACCTGCTTTCGTAGTATGCGCGCCAAATCGATGTCCCATTCGAATGTTCATCATCGAGCGTTCATAGTTGGCGACCCGTACGTACAATTAAGCGATTAGGCGATTAGGCGATTGGGCGAGAAGATACATGCGTATTGATGTTTTGCCTCCCTCATAGATTGTAGGCGAATGGCATGCGATTAGGCCGATTATTTCGGCAATCGTAAGGGGAACCACAATAAATCATTCCTGTCCTTCCTTGTTGTCGACTATTCGCTACTTTCGCCTACTTACCTATCCACCGATCGCCCAATCTAACGTAATTTACCTCCCTTGAATCATCTCCTAATCGTCTGATCGACCAAGTATGAGCTCCACTAGGGATCAATCAGATTCGACTATGAAGTGGGAAGCAATTTGTTTAAACATTAAGGCGATTTATTTGACTTTCAGAGAATTAAAAGAGATGGACAATGACGTACCGATGCACGGGACATTGCATCTTGAAGTAAACATTAAGCAAGAAACTCACTGAAACTACGGTTTTCATGACAAACCATAACATATCTCAACATGATAATAAAAATCCCATTATGTATGAGCAAGCTAAACCAACTACCCAGATGAGGTCATGTCGAAGAATCAATTCTGTGGGTGGGATAGAGTAGCCCACGAGTATCACTACTGTGCAGTTACCGCGGTTTGAATGAGCGGGACGGAACGTTCATAGTTGGCGATCTTACGAGCGATTCAACATATGGCGAGTCGCGGTAAAGACAGAGAAGATACCTATTTGATTTTTCCACTCAGCGCCCATTGAGCGATGTAAATGACTACTCGCCAAGGATCGCCTACAACGCTCTATAGGCAGAGCATATCGTAGATAACCGAAGTTGGAGTGGGTTGTTCACCGCCATACTGCTGATAGAAGTGCGTGGATAAGCTGCTTGCCAGCATGCTTTGCTGATAGCCAGCGAGGTATGTTGAAAGCAGCTTATCCACATAGTTTCTATCAAGTGCACGTCACTTCCGGTGACACGCCCACCCCAACTCACCGATATCGAGTATACAACTAAGATATTAATTTTTCGATATTGCCTAATCGCATGATCGCCTACCCGCTCACTCGCTTATTCGCCTAATCTATACGTATATTTTTCATTACAGACTGATCGCCTGAACGCTTATTCGCCTAATCGCATGTACGATCGCAAGCGCTAAACGCTCCGTGACAAGCCTCGGTGGGCGCTAATGTCCTTACGTACGATGTAGCTCACACCATCACTAGCTGCATTGTGAATCGCGTTCAGATCGAGATGGAGTCGACAACAAAGTTATTTTTTGATGTTATAAGTCAAAACAGAATACCTATACAAGGGGGGGCAAGAAAATGATTTTGCCCATGTCGCAACACGTCGAAGTCTCAAAGCGCATAATTATCCAAAGTTCCTCAATGAGTAGACGCCAGCCTTTTACTCCCCTCACTGTCTCCAGAATATGACGTCAGTTGCCATCGCCGTCGAGTCAGTAGTCGAGCTCAAGGAGACCTACTGTTACTGCTCCCACCTGAAGCTCTTATAGAATCGATTCACACTCAGATAGTCTCCTAGAGACATTAGCTGTAAATGAAACCCCCTCCCCTCGAAACCAGCTTTTCAGAAAACGTCGTAATGGTATAGGTTACAAGGCTTCTGTCAACCAAAGGGTGAGAGCGTAGCTGGAAAAGCACACACTTTGTGTCTTATTGGGACTAAGCCTTTTGAAGAAGATAAAGAAAGGAGATGCTGTGATAGTGTGCACTTGTGAGAGCTCCCAGACATCACTACAAAACGCTGAACCGCCAAGGCTCACGGTTGACAGATGTCCTGAGACCAATGGTATACTATCCGTGGAGACGGATATCTTGCTTTCCGAGCAATTGTGCTACCAGTTACACCAGGGCAACATTTCATCCTAGCTTTCCTGCCGATATGAACCGGTTTGTCACGTTATACGTGTGAATGCTGAAAAGCTATGGTACGTTTACCATGAAAGCTGAGTTGGATGAAATGGTGCCCCGGTAGCGTAACTGGTAGCGCACTTGCCCGGAAAGCAAGAGGTGCGGGTTCGAGTCCCGCCTGGGGCGAAAGTTTTGTTCACAACCCAGCATTCTTGTGAAACATTCGCAACGCGAACTGCGGCGTAAAACAGCAGTTATCCAAGAAAAACAAGCCATAAAAGGAGGTGTTTCACGCGGTTTCACACGGATTGACCACAATGCCCCCGCATGTAGCGATGGCCCCTAATTTGAAGACCCACACTGGATACGGTAACTATCTGAACGGTGTATTAGTGGCACTGTTCACACGGTCTGTTTGCTGCCTCGACGCGAACCATAAATGTTCCAGGGATCTGCCAATAAGTCCGCCTTTTGTATACGAATAAACCACAGGTCACATTGAATGAGCTCTCGCCACACACAGTCAAGGTATTCAGAGTTTCACCTCAGTCATGTCCAAGCATGGACACAAGCGGTTTAGTGGTTAGTGGTGTTAGGGATACCTGCCTACGTCAGGGATACCTAAACAGACATTAGGTCCAGATCAGAGTTAAAGGAGGAGTTCACGATAAGAACGAAGGTCAAAGAAGGGAAAATTGCATAGTTGGGAGACAGGCGGACCTCCTGAGGGTGCTGACCGACGCGCAATTGGCAGCGAAAGATTTGACCTCGGCGATCTAGCATGGCTCACTCTTGGCGCGGTTGGCGGGGTACGCCCACCGACTATCTAATCACTCGCCGCAGGTCTATACGTGGCGAGTGATTAGATAGCAGAGAGAGCGTAGTGTTGAAGAGGGCACAGCGATGAGAGTCGCATCAACGGGCAAGGAAGGGGTCCCATTTCTCGGGTTTCGGGCCGTTTCAAATGGTTTCTTCTTCATCCCTGCTCCACTGACCACCTCTACCCTTATTTCCAATGAGCTAACTTTTCATCGTGAATTGCCTTTAAGATGTAATTTCAACAAGGTATCATGACTGTCATGATATTCTCCGACTGTAATATGAACACTAACCATTCTTCTACCATTTCGTACAATGTTATCCCTGGAATTGGAGGAGAGCATTAGGGGAGGAGGTGGGGGAGGGGGCGGAACAGGGGGAGCAAGTAGAAATCACTAAAAAGCCTAAGGGTCAAGTCAGTGGTAAGGTAAGGTCTAATTTTGTGTTCTTATGATCACGATGAAGATCCTTTACCACATAGGACA